CAATGGAGGCGTTTGGTGTATCAAAATGGAATCAAATGTACAGTGGACGTATTGAATCGTATCGAAAAGAATCACAAGCGGCGACTACAAGTTCATGCGGGCCTTGGTGTCTTTATTTTATAAAAACATTAAAAAACGAAGAACCTTTTATACGACACAGTAAAATTATGCTTTATGATTTAATCGATGAAATACTTTTATTTAATTATATTTATAAGCGTTTTATGCGACATTAATATACTAAATAATTAGCTTCATCAAATATATTATGAGCTAAACCCATACGTGGATCTGTATCCGGGTGATTATCTATAATTAAATGTGTATATTTTTTAGGCCAAACCATTTTTTCAATTTGCGACATGACTATTTTTTTACGGTCATTTTCAGGTACATTGACATACGAGGACATATATTTTTTATACGATTGTAATAGTGTTTTCGAGTACATTAATATTGAATAATGTGTATTTCGACGCGCAATTAATGTTTTTCCATTCAAGTACAAATCTTGAAGGATAGTAATCACCGTAATATTACGGTGATGTGTTCCGCAAACATACAAATCCGTCATTGCTTCTTGATTTTCTTTTTCTTGCATGACCGCCAACAAATCGTCGACAATAACTATATTGACTTTTGTCGGATCTTTGTCTCTAGTCACATCTTCTATGGATGGATATACTTCCGTATATTTTATCTTAAACGAGGTGCCTTTCTTTTTCAATGATTTTTCAATTTCATCGTACAACGGTTGATTTTCACGATAAAAAATTGTTACCGTATCAATTTTCTTATCGAAAAACAGCTCCTGGTTTTCCAATACTTGTTTAATAAAATAGGTTTTACCCGACTGAGTCGAGCATACAACAATCCAATTGGTCGGTGTTTTAAATTTAAAATCCATTAATATTTTTTCAACAAATGCATGAAAATGAACAGATTCTTGCATTTGTTTTTTAATACTCGATAAAAATGATTCATCTTTATAGTAATTCGTCGAATCCAATATATTCTTTGTCGAAGGGGTCTCGTGCATTAATTTCGTACTCATCGCGTGATGTTTGTGGGCGATCTGTAATTTCAGGAGGCAGTTCTTCACAATTATAAATATCTTCGCGCGTTAAAATTAAATCTTTATGTCCGAAAGGACGTGAATCCCACTGGTCACCTTCTTTATTAGTAAATTTACTACGTTTGTCGTAACATCCTTTTTTTAAATCTTTTCCATTTGAAATACAATAATTTCATGACATTTATTTGGAGAATACCTGTCAAAATTCATCGTTATTTTTTCTAAATCACCATTTAATATATAATATAATAACTTTTCATTTACTTTATCGTTACACGATCTCTCCATTCCTTTTAAATGAACAACAGGCTTGTCCATTTTTTTTTTTGCTTATTACGCCGAGTAAAATAATAGGTTTTTGGAGCCAAGGCAACAAATTCTTTAATATCGTGGTCTGGTTGCTCATCTTTTAATTGTCCTAATTTTGGACCAGTTTTAATATTATGACCACGGGGAACTTTATAAACCACGTTATCCGTATCGCAATATTTAATACCATAGCTTGTTTTACTAACATCGATGTTTAATCCAGCCAATAATTCGTTAATCGATTGAAATGCTTTATAAAGCTTTTGACGCGAATAACTTGTTACAAACGATGCCAATGGTTCATTTACGTATTCTGTTTTTTTCTTTTGATATTTTCGCTCGGGTGGAAGATTAAAGCGAATTTCAAAGCCTTTTTCCAACGGTACTTCGCATTCCAACGGAAACACGGCGTAATCATAATGACAATCTTTTAAGTCAAGAATACGTTTGTAAATATCATCATGGACGATCATCGATGATGAATAAAATTCACGTTGGCCTAATTTTCCCCCAATACTATTCGCTGTTAATTTGCCGACCATGCGTTGTACAGTATTCTTAACCATAACATCGCCTTCTTCTAAAATACCTTCTTCATCAATAAGACTACGTAATAATTCGTGAGCCTGCGCTGGATCATCGGGCGGTTTTTCTTTTTTATATATTTTTTTTAATGCCAAACGCATAAGACGATCAAATAACATCGCTTTTTCTTTATAATGATGCATTTCATAACAATCAATAAGCTTGTAGCCCAACTCGAGTGAAAAATAGATGGCATTGCTTGGATACGTTTCATACATTGAACGATGGTGATGAGGTAAACAATACATGACGTCATATTGACCATCGGCTTCACGCGCACAATCCCAACACAATGAAAACACTAATTTTGAGCGGGTGCGTACAGGTGAATATGGAATAATTAAATCAGTGGGTGCTTCTATTTGACATTTTAATAAACCAAAGAATTCGCCTGATTCAATGAGTGTGCGCATTCGATCTTTATCTCGGATGATTTCATAATCACCCATAGGATAATAATTCTTTTTTTGAGACTGTTGTAATCGACATATTTAATTTGGGCTTTTTCTGTTCCTCTAACATAATTACAAAACACTTCTGTACGACCACCAAATAAAGCATCACGTGGATCAATAGGCAATAAGCTGAATACGCGTTCATCATAAATGAATTTTTTATAATTCAACTCCGAACAATCGATATCGTGTGAATAAATAATATCATTCTCAATATCAAGATACGCTGATAATTTTTCTAAATTTTCACGTTCTGCGTCTCCGTGAAAATTATTGAACGTGGGATTAGGGAATACCCGTGTTAATACCGATATTTATTTTAAATGTTGGATCGCTAAATTCATTTTTCAATTTCTTTTCTTAACTTAAATAATAAGACAATTGTAGCGGAATCAAGTGTGATTTGACATCGTAACGTTTTCGATGTGTTTGCGCTAAGATGGTATTCGCTCTTAGGCCCGGTTCAAACGTCGCATTTTACATGCGCCGAATCAAATCTGAGTTTTAGTCGACTAAAATAGTTTTATGCGTAGTTTGATTCAGACGTCGAATTTAATAGTCGCATTTATAATAGTTATGCTTCCACTTTTTCATAGTTTATTTATTTTCTTGTACTAATTTCCTAAAATGGCGAACAGGGAAATGTTTTTACAACTTTGCGCATGGCATTTAGCATGGAAATAATTGATTTTTGCTTAGAAATATCTTAAAATAAATTATGCATTAAATTCGGCTCATGTAAAATGCGACGTTTGAATCAACATCGAATTTTCGTCGAATATTCGACTAACTCAGTCAAATATGCGACTAAAGTCGCATTAAATTAAAATCCGTCGAATTTAATTGATTCAAACGTCGCATTTTACATGCACATAATTCTCGCATTTGATTCGGCGCATGTAAAATGCGACGTTTGAACTGGGCCTTAGATATGAAATATCTATTTTTTCCTTTTTATTTTGACTATCGGGAATAAAACGCAATTTTCGAAATGCGGCTAGCACACATGAAGCAATACTAAATATATTTTTATTTAGTAGCGGATAAACGCCAAAAATTTCATTATAGACACGTGAAAACTTGACGATAATTTCAAGTAGGGCATATGAATCGTTGATTGAATATTTTCGCATTTAATAAAGAAAACCGAAGGCCGACTTTCTCGTTGCCGTGTTTCGCATCCTATTTCGTTATTGTACCAAGTCATGAAATTTTCATTGAAAACGTGTGCGCCTTCATAATATTTCAGCTCGGGTACGGGGCCTGAATAATTCCACGCGTCTTCTCTTTCATTTAAAAATTTAAATGGAAATGTTCCTTTCGTGTATTGTTCTGATACTTGAAACGAACCCATAATTCACGAACACTGCCCATTAAATACATTGATGAATCTTGTAAGCTGATTTGTGTATATTTTTTCTCGCCACCCAACCGTCTTTGTTTTAGTAATGTTGCAATTGGGATTCTATAACCGCGGCGCGTTTTTGAAACAACTTCCCATCCATCAGATATTAATAAATCAATTAGAATAGGTTTCGTCAAATTTGGCGGTATTATGAGCAACAAGGCAAAAATTGTCGGCGCGTCGAAAAAGAATTTGGAAAAGTTGATTATCCAATCGCTGGCCATCATTATGTAAAAATTGCATTTCAACACACTTGCAAGCATGCTCGTCGTTTTCAACGGGTTGAAGGCGATAATCTCCTTCTTTAAAACATTCTGCACACATGCCAACGAAAGAAACAGCGACGGGTACTTGAATATTATCGATTAATTGCTTTTCAAAATCATACACCATAACTCCGCTTTTATTTTTATTTAACGCTAATCTTTTTAAATAACACGGATCGTTATCGGTATGGTGCTCATAACATATTTTGCATTTATATAAACCACAAATATGATCTTCGCGTTTTCCATCTTGATTACACAAAAGACAATGAAAAAAGCGTTCACAATCACCCGTTTCACCAATTCTAAAACGCTTAAAGCGTCAGTTCTAATTTTTAGAAATGCGTTACGAAGCGTCAATAAAATGTATTCCGCGCATTCTACAAGATATGTTACACTAGGTTCCAGTTTCTTTAGATAATGTGTAGCTCCGTGCAGCTCCGTACATTTGGTTCAAAATGGCTACTCGCCCCTCAAAGCGATTCAAATCTTGCAAACTTCGCGTTCGATCTATCTCTACGAGTGGCAAAAAAATCACGAAGAATATTTCTCTGAAAGCTTCAAATCGTATTTCAAATGAATTAAAGTCAACAAATGTCCCTTCTAGTGCGATAGAACGACATAATTTGTATGAGTTTGATGAAGGTGAAGGTTACTGTGATGAAGAGCATGCTTATGCAACAAACTATCAGAACAGACGGGAAAAGGAATTTCAAGGCTGGCAAACCATACGAGAGTCTTTGTTAAACGGAAGAATTGAAGAAGAAGTTTTTCTTAACGAAGAAAAATGCTCTGAATGTGGTGTGATTGGGGTAGAATTTCGTTGTAACGAATGCGCACACGAAAAATATTTTTGCAAAGGTTGTGCTGACAGCACTCAACGAAACAAGCAACTACTTCCATGAGCTTGAACGGTTTAAGGTATGGATGGAAAGAATAAAGATAAATTCAGTTATGATGAAGTTTTGTGGTGTATAAGTTTGGTGATCAAACGTTGATTTCAATTCATGTCATCATGGTCATTGTATCATACATTTGTGTGAACTGCTATTGAAACATAGCTTGCATTATGTTTTTAGGATGGGTATACATTACCTTACTTTCCCAATCATGGTATTCTTGCAGCAAGGCATCAGAAATCTTGCCATAGTGCTCAAGCAAGAAATGTCATTTGCATTGACCAATATGGTTTGTTTACTAGCTTAGATATAGTCACTTAAAGATTGATAATTTATCAACCTTAGCATTTTGTTGATACATAAGGTCTTTGCATGCTCATTTTTTTAAATCAATATTTCTTCTTTAAATACTAGCTTCATGGTAAATTCTAAATTTTATTGCAAAGTTCATGTTTAATTACCACCTACCCTCTTTCTTTGTGATCTTTGTATGTTTCATTATGATGCTGATGATGATGATAACCAGAACTTGCAGTGTATTTTTTCAAATAGGCCGGCAACATCAGAAACAAGTTCTGTTTTGTGAGTGTGAAAAAGATTCAATAACGTTAATAAGATTGAAACTTTGGCCTGGCAGTGCTACTCGTCCCTCTTTAGCTTTTCATTTTAAGATGATGGAGTTGGCTGAAACCTTACTTCTTGAATGTCATGTTTCACTTCGAAAATTCTGCGATGCTCTAAAAATATGGACAAAGTGCTCCTCTTTACCATTGTGGGTAAGTATTCATTTCAACTGTGTAAAAAGAAATACATGTGTACCTTCATTCTGTGTTGCCAACAAGGGGGTACTTCCCCCCTCCCAATATTTCTCCCACATTGGTCTTTATTTATAGAACTTGAAAAGGTGTGTGATATCAAACAGTGCATTGTAAGTTTAAGGGACATTTTAGGAGTGTTTCCCCATCTCTCCCTCCCCCCAAAAAAATCCTGTTTGCACAGCTGCCCATGATATAGATACCCCAGAGCAGTGCAACAGATTGTTAAAAGTTTGTAACAATTACTAGTTACCTGCCTAAAACATAGAAAAACTTTTGTACATTTTATTAATTTTATTTCTCTGATGATAACAATACATCTTATGATAGATTTAAAAGAGACTGTTCTGTACGTACTCAAAATGTTTTTGCTATCATTGCATCCACGTGAACAATATTTATTGGGTACGAAAAATAATGTTCGGTCTCAATAGAAATAGTTATAAGCAGCTAATAGCAAATTATTTGTTGTCGTGTAGATACAATTTAACCCAAGAAGAAAAAAGGATATGGATTAACTGATGGGGAAGGAGTGGAAAGACTATGGTCATTTCTTCGGGGATTTTCTAGCATGACCAAGGAGATGAGCTCTGGTCGCTGTCTTGATATTTTGACAGATGCTTTACTGCACTATTCTTCTCGTCGACTTGAACAGTTTGGTTGGTGTGTTTACTTAAAGTACTCGTGTTAGGCTCAGGGAAATAACTTCTTTTAATAGTCAAGTTGATTTTGAGAACATTTGCAATACGTGTATTTGATAGACAAAAATTTTATCTTGATGGGGTTTTTTGGCCAACAAGTAGGTGATTGAAAGCTGGAATTGACATACATAGGACAACACGATCGCTTCAAAAAGTATCGACACCATACAGTATTATAGACTTTAAGAAGGAAATAGCGTCCCAAAATTTGTACTGTGTAAACGTTTTTTGTTTACTTGAAACCGGTATAGAAAATGCTATATCTTCAAAGCACGTGTGTTTTAATCTTTTGCAAGGGCTCTTAAAATTGATTTAACGATTTAAAGAAATCCTGTCCCAGACCCTGATATAGTCACTTTAATAATGTACACACAACTGTTTGATCAGTCAACGTTTTGTAAACTAGTAACCACTCACCGCCCCCCCCCCCTTCTGTTTTTTGTATATTATTTATTTAGTGCTGGAAGTTGTTGATTTTTTTAGGATCTTCATTAGCTGCTAAACTTAAAAGATGTCCTGAACTTATTACTAACACGCAATCACAAATACAAGACTTATTTTCGAAGCTAGATGTTCTGTATGACTCTGATTTATTAGAGACATGGATGAAGGAAGAAGAAAAACTAATTAATGAGAAGAATTGTATGTAATGTGCCTTTCCATCAACTTGTTGGCTCATAATTTTTATTAGATGACTGGATTATTTCTTGTAGCAAAACGGGCACTTCCGTTAACATGGCAACAAAAATATGTGGAAAGCTTATTGCAACTTTACCAGCTAAGGTAATGTAGGTATACAATTTTGATATATAAAGTTTATCAAGTGCATGAATAAATATTTTTACAAATGCGATTCTGTAGTTTTGCTCAATAGGTTGCTGAGATAAATGCGTAATGTCGTCACTGTTTATTTTGTAGTGTATGGCTTTGTGTATGTAATACTGAAGTAATTAATCATTACTATCAGATGACATTTTTTCCTTGTAGAATGCAGATTGCTTGTATTCTGGAAGTTGATCATGGTCACTTTGCGGATAGTGTTAAAAAGACTAAGAAGTAAGGCAAGCCTTTTGACTATATGAATTGTGCATTTTTTTGTCGCTGATAAAACCTCGTGAATAAGTGTTGAGAAGAATTTCATTCTCCTTAAACCAATAGTCGTTTCGTTGTAATATTATCGTTTAAATTTGTTTTGATGTATTTTTTAGAGTAACGAAACAGGTTGAAAACATTGAGAGAAGAAAGAAAGTGGCGAAGAGGTGGAAACCTGGGGAGAGAGAATTTAATACGGCAGCTTTGTCGCTGGAGCTGAAACGGAATGAGTCTGTTATTGAGTCAGCATTTTCTTTAGCAATTGAAAGGATGTTCCTTGTATCCTTAAAGAATAAATATGCAGGTATTCTTCCTAATGTAACATTTAAATATACTGCTAAGCATTTCAAACGTCTTTCACTTTAGTGCGTGCGTACTTGCCCAGTCCTTTTAAGTGAGTGTCATTTAATACTTTTAATACTTCGAATTGGAATTATGAAAAAAAACCCATTGAATAGTAGTTTTTACAGAAACTGTATTGGTGGTATACTGCTTTAGTAAAATTATGAATGCTATATGACTTTAACTTGTATTTATTGAACCGAGCGTTATCTTGCGTTTCAGATGGCCAAGCGATAGCCGTTAAACTTTCCAAACAAATAAAGCCCGCCGCACACTGGTAAACTTGCCGCGCGTACTTGTTATTCGTGACAAGTGCGATCGACAGAATTTCCTAGTGTTCGCGGAAGTTTTGAACAACATTTGTCATTCGTGACAGATGAGTCTAATATCAAACGCGTTTATATTTGACTCATCTGGCACGAATAAAATGTCAACTTGTCATCGAATAAGAGCAGAAACAAATTCCATTAAAACTACAATAGCCAAGTATAATGCATCACTAAAGTCTTTGGAAGATTGGATTGAAGGACTACCTAGAAAAATTGAATTCGACGAAGCAAAAGATCCAAGGTCGCAACTTTATTGTGATTTTAACTTTCAAACAAATAAAGATACAGTACCGTTCACTGCTAAACGTTCTGCTATTGAGTTGCATAACTTTCTTGAAAGATGCAAAGAGGAACAAGAGATGTTAGAAATGGAAACAGAAAGACTAGTACACTATTACTTGGATAAGAAACAAGAACTGGAGTCCTATATCAATGTTAATGGGGAAGTTCAGAGCAAAATCTTGAGAGGAACTGTAGCAAATTTTAAGAAAGATCTAATTAACATAAATAATGCACTGTATTCACTGAAACATATGTTAAATGACTATTTAACAGAAGCTAGTAAGAGTAAATTACCATTCTTCAAGATAGAAGCAGAGCATGCATTATCTATTTTGCGTCCAACAAACATAATTGAGGATACATTAGAGATTGAAACCAGTTCAGTTGATAACGAGACTGACTGCGAATCAGTGCTTCAATTTTCAGATTTTGAATCAGACACCGAGTTAGAATAATTCCAAATACACACGTGTATATATATATAATTATAAGTTAATAGTGAACGCTTTTGCTATATGCAAAGTTCAACTTTATAGGTTTGAGCGCTCTAGGGACTGTACAAAACAATCCATACAATGTGTAACCATACATCCTGTGTCCCAAGTGCAGCATTCACCATTTTACTAGGGTGATAGCTGGAGGTCACATTGTTATACACTTTATGTATATGTATATATATAGGAAGTTTATATTTCTCTTTTACAACATATTTTGATAATTGTTTTTATAATAAAGAATTAAGTGCAGTATCAGTTAAAAATAATCCTTTTTTTCAGTGATAGAATTAAATTTATATTTATATAATTATAATATGGATTACAATATTTCATTCTATTACCCTCTAATACATCTCCATAGTATTTATACAAATTATTTTTATAAATAATATATTTTTTTTCATTGAAATTCATTAGTTTCTTCAAATTTTAAGTCCAGAAGTATATCTAGCTCTTTGTTAGTAATTAGTTATTATCTGAATCATCATACTCCAATTCAAATATTATATATTTTGAAAATAGAATCAAAGGACCTTTTTTATATTTCATTATATGTATTGATTGTAAATTAAAATTAGCACTAGCATCTAGTTTAGATAATCCACCATTTAAATTAAAAAAAGTTTTTTATGTAATAATAAAAAAGATGAAATATTATTTGGTTTGCTATCGGAATTTCTTATACTGTTTGGTAAACAATTTTGCACATTAGTTACTTCACCAAGTTCTGGGATTTTTGTACATTTCCACTTCTAAAATGAGTAAATTATATGGAAGTGCTGAAAAAATATTCAATTTAATACTACTCCTTTTTTGAGGTTTTTTGGTTTTAAACTCTATTCAATATAAAATATTATTTTTATTAATTCCTGTTAAATTAAATGGATATAATATATCCATCTGTGGAATAAAAAATTTCGAGATAAAGTATCAGTATGTTGCAGTAATTTAATAGGTCGTAATTTAATTTCCATTTTTTAAATCAATTTGACATTCCAACGTAATATTTATAGAATTAAATGGTATAATTGCCTTAATGATGCAATACTTTTATAGTTAAATTTTTAATAATTGAAGAAATTAGTTGTTTTTTTATGGTTGGAGGATTGTACACAAATAAATTGTCTCCACTTTCATTTGCATAATGTAAAGGAACAATACATAACAATTCCCTTTTTGAATTACCAACAATTTCTCTATCAATTTTTTCACGATATATAAACATTTTATTGATTCCAACTGTCTCATCAGGAAGATATGGACAATGAAATAATTTTATTTTTCACAAATTCACGTTTCTTACAATCAAATCCAGAGTCAAATGTATATTTTATTACTTCTTTGTCTAACCCCAACATAAAACTTAATTTTTTTGAAAAATTTAATTTAAATTCAATTGTATCATTTCCTGAAGCATAATCAGTATATTTTATTTTGCTTATTATAGGTTTTATCCATATATAATTTTAAAATCATATTTTTACCCTGATTAGAATAAGATTCTTTCCTTGAACATAGTAACAAATATATCCATTTGTTAAAATTATATTTTTTACTATTTCTATTCTTAAAAATATTATAATCATTTAAATAATCATTCAAAAGCGATATAATTTTTATTGTTATATATTCCCAATGGTATTTTAATTCTTGGTAAATTAAACTTTAAAATTGGATATAAACTTATATCAATATTTTTAGTTGTAACATCCGTTTGAATAAAAGATTTCGAAAATTTTAATTCTAAATCACACCAGAATTCATCTACATTAATGTTTTTGCTGTTTTGGATAAAAACGTTTAACACTGTTATGTATTTTTATTATTTAATGCATCAATTTGACCAGGTAATGTTGTAGCAAAATGATTAATATAGTTTTTTAACAATTTTATTATTAACTTTACAAATTAATGTAATATTTTTCATTTTGAAACCTTTTTAATTCTTCACAATAAAATTTCCTTGAATTTCTTCACCGTTGTTATCACAAAGCTTATAAGTAACAAGATCCGTCAAAAAAACTTTATTTATATAAAAAGTCTCATTAACCCACTGTCTCAAGCTTTCCTTTTCAAAAATATTATTTTTAATTCTTGAAATTTGCACTTTATCATTTTTCTTTAATATACTTAAATTTTTATCTCTTTTTTTTTCATAATATTAGATAATCTTTTGATGTAATTTTTTTCCGCCTAAATAAACATCATACGGTGAAACATTGTCAGAAAGTAATCCACGATAAGGATTTTCGTTATATCTTTCCACAATTAAATGTAAATATTTTCATAAGTAAATTTTTTTTCCTTTTCTTGTTTGCAACAAGTCAATAGTTTTTCCAGTCATCTGTTTTATTGTTTGTATAAATCTATCAGCATGAGTAGCTTTAATTTCACGATTATAAATATTATAATTTGTAAAATTATATTTTTTTGACAATTCTTTTCGAAACCCTTGAAATTCAGTTCCCTCGTGTGATACTATTTCTTTAGGAAATTCATTTTCTTTCAATACAATATCTTCAAATTTTTCCATAACATTTTTACTAGATTTATTTTGCAATAACTGAACAAAACCATATCTTGAATAAACATCAACTACACATAACAAATAACACAAATTATCATTATATCTTGCCAAATCTTTCATTTCAGCTAAATCAATATTCCATAAATAATTTTTGTTCATACATTTATATTTAAAATTTATATTTTTTTGATACAAATTATGTATATTTTGTTTATTATCTTTTAAATGTTCACCTTTTAATAATCTTGCAGCTCTTTTTATAAAAACATTGTTAATTAAATTATTAGTTTTCTTCTTTGTTCTCCTCATCACCATCATTCAAAAACGTTGGAGGATGATGAAAATCAAGCTTTGGAAAAAAATATATCATTATATGTTCTTTCAATTTTATCATTGCCATATTTTTTATAAAATTCTACAAAATCTTATTTCTTTCCAATTCTTCCTCTAAAATTTCATTCATAAATTCACTATGATAACCAATGCAATCATTTATTGGAATATCCAATTTATTAGAAAACTCTTTCAATACATTAATAGCTTAAATGTCATTACTACTTTCAATATCTTTTTGTCTTTTTTTACTTGGTACAGTTTTTGGCATTTATTTACTTTTTCTTCTTTAGCTTCCTTTCCTTTGATTTTTTCTTTTCTTCTTCACTTTTTAATAAATCACGACAAAATCCAACAAATTGTCGAAATTTTTGTGACATAGTTTTTAAATCGTCATCTTTTCTGAAATATATTTTGTAAAATTAATCCGCCCAATCAATCATTGCAATATCATTTAGATCAGTGGGTTTGAAACAATCATATCATCATCATCATTAACATAAACAGTTACATTTTCATCCACAACATGGTATGATTTTTGTGTTTTTAAACTTAATTTATTATCTGAATCACGTTCAAAGATAACACGTTTCTCATTAGATGAAAACAAAACTTCATATAAAATTTCCTTTTAATCTTTATTTGCAATCTTATTCAACACATTTACCAATCTTTCACATGTTTGCAAATTCATTTGCAACTCATCATTACAGCACATTCCATCGTTGTATGGAGAGTAAACAGATTTTGAAAAAAAACATAGATTACTAAAGCGATTAAAACTGCATATTTTATTTAAAACGATTGCTTTTCCATTAGAATAACTTTGTAAAACTGTTACCAAATCTCTAAAACTTTTTTTTAAATGGTATACTCTAGTATAAGGGGTAATGGGTTAACAATTGACAATGTCTATATTTTTTAGTTATTCCTTTAACCTGCAATGTGCTTTACCCATTTTCTGACAAATGCCACATGACTTTACTTATCATTGGGGTAGCTACGAAGCTTTATTAAACAATCCACAAATAAAATTGGCAAAGAACGAAAATGGGCTTAATTCATTGATTCAAAATTAGAGATTTTTGAGACTTTTGTGAGCCTCAAAACTTTGAGTATTCCAGGAAATTTCTTAAGTATTTTGGTCTGTTATCTGAATGTCATGCAAAATCACAAGTTGGCATAAATGCAATGAGCAAAGGCAATATATAGTGGAGACAATAGACGTGGTGTTGAAATAGCGTGAGAAAAACAACAAAACGTAAACAAGAACATTTGGAAATTTTTTTACACGTTTCCCCCGATAGTTATTTCTTAACATTCAAACTACACTTGTGCATAATATAAGAATACGAATACTTTAGGTGCATACAATTATTGGTAACAACATGAACATGCTATACAAAAAAAAGTTTAACACACTACAGGAAATCCTGTTTAGCAAGGCATTCCAGAACAGACGTGTGAAAACCGAAAGGTATGCTTATTTGGGATGTAAAAATTTTGGTTTTTAACCTTAAAGTTCCTAATTCTTTGTCCTGGTAACAGATTAGGTTTAGTCCAATAATGTTTGTTTTCTGGGTTTTAATGAGTTTATAAGTTAGCTCTGAGCTCGTCTTGTCTAACCAATATCCCCAAATCTTATCTTCAGTAGACAATGATTCAATGCTTTCAGCTGCACCAGGATAATAGAAGAGCCAATACGGTTCATCAGAGTCAGTATAAACCGGAAGAATGTATCCTTCGTGTGTTCGACTGCTTTTACAGTTGGCAATAAGAGTCGCAAAGGCATCAGGTTTGAAAAAATTTTTAAGTTTCCCAGTCAACAAATCGAGCTCTGACTTTGTCAAATCTACATCAGTTACCACCAAATCGCATTCTTCAATCAGCTTGTTACGTATCAAGCACATTGATACTTTGGCTTCTTCAAAAACAACTTTCTTCAACACAGATCGGTAACATTCTCTCTCTTGATCAGAATATTTACGATTCTCTGTCAAAACTTTTTCTACTTGCGGTGATTCGATTATTTTGAAATGAATATTCTGCGCATTTTTCATAATGTTGGAAATCTGTTTAATACCATACTGACTGGGTTTTTTAAATGTAATACCTTCTGGCAAACCAGTAACAGTAAATCCTCCTTTTAAATAAGGTACTCGGCACATTTTCCCACAAGCTTCACCTTCGAAGAAAATTACAATGATGGGTAATACATAAATGTAGCTAGCAACAATCAATGACAATAACAAAAGTCCCATATTTATGGGGAGAGATTTTAACACGTACAAAACTATGAGGACAGACACAATAAATGATATTTCCTAAATATGTAAACTGTAATGCACATTGTTCATTTTTTACGAAACAGCATTCTTTCCCATGATTTGATTTAATAAGTTTGGAAATGTTTCACAATGGTGCAAAACATTCATGCTGACTTGAAATAACTTGATTGTCAAAAAAGGAATTGTGTATAAAATGGACTAAAAAATATCAACCATGACACAAGCTCAGAAAATGGAAAATCATTTCAAATGCAATTTGCACTTACTGTATTTCTGGTTGAATAGTTTTATCACATCACACACCCGGTACTTTCTGACAACCTGTTTTGGAGAATCTATTTAATAAAAAAAAACATTGATAAAGAAATAACGCCCGTGTAAAATGCATGGAAAGGGAGGAGAGGATTATTCATATATCCAGCTGAGCCCAAGTGATTACTTTTGAAAGCAATTTACTTTCAAAAGAAATCCGAAACAACTGAATAAACATTCTTGGAACAGCACTAATGCTTGAGAAATAATGCACTGGTATTCCAAGACCCACAAGTTTCTGAAAATAACTGTGTAGGTACAGCACTTACCCAAATACTCAACGAAATTGACACCAATTTTTCATTTTATTCAAAAGTTGATTCCTTTTTCTGTTCCAAACTGTTGAAGACAAGAATCACCAGGCTCCAAGAATAAAACAACTGCTTCACAACCAAGACTTTCTAAGTAAGTAAGCTAGCAAAGAGAAATTTAATTGAATTTACACAGCATAAGTTTTCAGCAAATTTTTCTCTAAGTAAACAAAAGTATAAAATCAACACATCTACAATGTGTTAGATTAAACACTTATCATAATTGCTTTGGCCTTATTTTATGATACGTATACTATTATTTTGTGGGGAAATTAGAGCCCCTCGTACACCCTAATCTATCTAAAGCTATGGGGATTGCAAAATTTCTTACAAAATACTCCCCCTTCACATCCATGACACTGGTCTATCAATGCTAATATTTTCCACAGTAAAATTGCAAACGTTACAAAATGCTAACTTTGTGGATCTGTAACCCAGTAGACTTGGCTAAATTTCAGCATTTATTTGCTACTTCTAACAATTCATAACAACTTTTACAAATTTTTTTGTAGTAGAAGTTTTCTTTAGGTAAATTGTCTTTCCTTTAGAATGGATTGAAATTTACAAACCATCACGTTATGTTTATAGAGATGCTCAACTAAATCTACGCACAAACAATCAAAGTAAAAATCATTCTCTTATATCATAATACTGTACATATGTACAGTGGGTAATAACAGCTGTACCTGTGACAAAAGCTGCTTTTTCCCTTTTTTCACTTGGTTTGTGCTCTGCTTAAATGTCTGGTCATGAATGTCATTGCTTTGAACAGCCTTTGCTCTTTCTGCCCAAATCACACGTTCCTCTGCCCCTAACAAGTTCCAGTAGTCTACAGCTAACTTCAGCCTCTCAGAATTAGAGCTCAGCTGCTTGCATTCCTCTAAAATTACAAAATGCATATTTACAAAAGGCATATAACAACAGAAAGAAACAAAGTACTCTTTTGGGTTTAAATGACGACTGCACAGGTTTTGTCTTAGCACTTTTGGGGGAATAAAGATGATACATATTGTACAGGCCATAAAAAACATACAGTTTATAGATCAGAACCTGAGTTCAGCATATGCAAGCAAAAAAGATTATATGCTGTAGTTCTACGCTTTGAAGGGCACAGTCTTAACTCCTCATCTTGATGAGAGCTGGCTTTTCTTTTTCTGGACTGCTTTTCATTCCCAATCCATTTCTAGAAGAAATAAAAATAAAAACTTTTCTTTTTCTCGTAGCTAACCTGGTTAACCAAGGTTATTTACTACATGGTGTATGAACAAATAGAGTACTAACATGAAGCCTTATTAATAAGAAAATTTGTTAAGGTATATTAATTTAGGTTTTGCCTTGATCACCTTAAATGATATGCACCCAATGCAATTAAACCTTCAAAGCAATTATATACATAATAATGGGGTGACTAGCAGAGAGTAGAAATTAGAAAAACATCTCTAGCATTTACAATTTAAGGTAGATTCAACATTATTGAGTCTCTATAAACTGCAATGATTCTGTCATTTGCAAACTTTCAAAAACATGCAATGAATACAGCATAGTCTGCTCAGTCATTTATTCATGCAATGCAAAATTTCACTTGCTGTGAAAACTATGGATTTCTAAACAACAATTAATTAATAGTAATATTCTCAAATTTATCTACATTTCAGGATTATTATTTGCAAAATGATAAGGTCCCTTTTTGTTATAGCATGAATCCCAGGCAAGTCTTTCATGGAAAAGGGAAACACCAGTGGGCATTAAAAATGTGTTATAGAGAAAATGCGCATTTAATAATTTAATTTTTGGAAAACCATTGTCGAGGGAAAATCGAGGGAAAACCATAGGTTTTCTGATTATAAGATTTGTGATAATGTTACAGAATGCCTGCCCTAAAGTTTCAACAAACTCAGAATACTACGAAAAATTTGTGATCAACAGTCTTGAAGGCATACTCAAAAATAAAAAAATTACCAAGTTTTCCCACCCCTTTTTAAGATGTACTACCTGTGGCACCTCTATACTATGATATGAATATTATGAAATGAGTATATGTATGTAAATACTATAATCTTATTACTTTTATAAAGGAGAAATTGCATTATTGAAGAAAACTACAGATCGATTTAATGCAAAAAGATATAGTAACCAGTGGTACATACATATTACATCTGACAACAGAGAAAGATAAAAAGCTCGAGAGGGTTGAATACAAATAAAAACAAGCTTGTTTTTTATAGTACATAGTAAAAACAAGTGTGAGTATAAAAATATAATAATTATACGCTTAATAGGCCAAGTTAAAATTTTAACAGTAGAATAAATTTTACAAACATCGGTCCGTGGGCGTTTCGTTCATTCAAAATTTAAATTTACAAATACAAATATTTAATTAACTTCACATCCTGAATTCAATTTTCAAAAATTGAATTCACATTTTTTTGCGAATTCAATTTTCATTTGATTAATATAAAAGTAAAATCCACTTTAAAAATTTGATTTTGAGTTGTTGAAATATACCTATGAATTACCAATTTACGCATTCTGAAATCCATCAAATTTTGCTATAAGTTTAATGCGACATTGCTTTGTGCATAGACTTCCTATGGCCGAACGGGGTGGAGTCAAAGTCTACAGCGTTCGATCATTTGAGAACTTTATTTTATGACGATATTATGATCGATATAAAATATCTCAGCACATTTTGGCTGTCGTCTACGTCGTTCGGTGCTACATTTTTTCGCGAAAGTCATGGATGAGATAGTAAGTGTCGAGGCAGTCAGAGATCTAGTCGTGAGAAAATAGCTGACGCACAATCAAATAGGCGAGGAACTGCGACGAGCAAATCCTGGTGTTCGAGGTCTAAGCAAAATGAGTGTGCGACGCTTTTGTTCTGCACATGACATTCACCGCATGTCGAAAGTTACAGACCAAGAGCTAGATTGTGCTGTGTCTGTAGCCGTTTCACAGGTAATTTTATTCAATAAAACAATATGGCTTTATCATGCTTTTATAATCATTATTCAAGGTTTTTTTGAAACACCTACGCAGGTTGGCCCAACTTATGGTCGCAAGATGATGAAAGGAAAGCTTGAAGCTGCAAATATTAAAGTTAATGAAAAGCGCCTTTCAAGGTCACTTCATAGAGTTGCACCAGATTATTGTCAACAAAGAGAACAAAACACAGCAAAGCTATTGAATCCAGTGCCATACAGTGCAGATTACTTTGGTCACAAACTTCACATGGATCAAAATGAAAAGTTGGTCATGTATGGGTGCACGACAGTCTTGGCAGTTGATGGATACAGCAGCATGATTATGGCAGCTGCTTCGATGCCTGTGAAAAATAATGTGAAAATTTATCGCTCTGTATTCAGGTGTCAAATGAACTTTTTTGCCATGTTCATAGCATTATTGAGATCTATATGTTTTATGAACATGTTTCTATAGGCCTATTATTGAACAATATGGTGTATGGGACCAAGTTCGTGTTAACTGTGGAAAGGAGTTTTATCTCACTTTGTTTGTGCAACAAAGTTTGTCTGCACATAGAAGAAACACGCTTCGAATACCATACAAACAGACACCATCTACCAAGGTTGCATAAATATTCACTGTTGTATTATGAACTCGAAATATTATGAAGTAGTATTCTATAGCCCTTTGTTTATCAGAGTCCTACTCGCTTTTAGCATTAATTGTCTGCAGTAACAATTTAGTAATGTTTGTTTTTATATTTAAGAACCACATGGTTGAACGGCTTTGGGTTGAAGTGAACGGCAGGATTAATTACCCAATCAAAACCCAGTTGAACAGGATGGCTCAAGAAGAGCTAATTGATATGGTCAACGTTGTTCATCAGTTCTGCGTATCTACCATAGTAATACAGGTTGTTCAGGCTGGAATACAAGAGCTCCTCCCAGCATGGAATTGTCATACCATTCCAGGTAAATTATTAATGACAAATTGATAATCATAACAAAAAGGTAGCAGAAATTTAACAAGAAAGAGTCTGACATGCTACGGCAACAAGTGACCACCCAAATCTAATCCAAGCACCTCTCCCCCCTTAAAAAAGGACCCATTGTGAATAATCCCCGACTTCATCAGGATGCCCTATATCTTTCATTTTACCATGTTATCAGTAACAAAAATTTTCATTCTTTTGTTGTTTAGGAAAAGGTAAGCCAGAAGAGCTGATGAACAACACTTACAGGGGAGTATGTGTACTTCACGGTACTGAAATTACCCTTCCTGAGATTGCTGTTCAACAGTATGAAAGAAGTAGGGGTCAAATAAAAAGTTTTGGTAATTTTGGAACTGATCCCTTACTGGAATTTCAACATCTTCAAATAATCAGAGACAAAGAATTCAAAAGCCGAAACCCTAGTTTTGCTACGATATTTAATGAGATTGTAAATAGTAAGCCAAATTCCTTTTTTAATGCTGTAATTAGTTTTATTAACATTACAACACACCTTTCCCCTTCAACATAAAAAATAAATATGAAAGAAATATACATTGTAATAACTCTGATAGTTATAAGTCTGCGTTTATTGTGCTATCTCTCAGCTTACACGTTCGTGCTCTACATGTGCTAAAATAAAGTCATGCCTCAGTGAATGTCAATCATATACGTAACATAACGGAAGTTTATAGCGCTAATTATGTGCATATATTACATACATAATCAACTGTTACTTTTATTTTATGGCATTAGTGCATGGCTATATCAGACAACATGGTTTTGAGTTTGTTCCGAATACATAATTTACTCATTATTGTCTCCTGCGAGTTCTCGAAGACTGGTAAGGAATTCATCTATGCCAACCAATCGAAATGTGTGTGAGTAACCCCGGTCAGCTCTGCAGTTTAGAAAGCATTTGTCAAAGACATTACTACCAGTCCCATACCACAGTTGCACACAGGATTCGCATCCTATTATTGAACCACAACATGTTGATGCCAATATTGGTACATCCATAGGTGCCTTGTGACATATCTTGCATGAGAAATAGTCTTTCACTAAGTTCTTTAAAGCCATAGGAACTGTGTTCTCTTTGCTAAATTTCAGAACTTTTGAAAGTTCTGCGTTGTTTTCCTTGAGCACTTTTTGTATTTCATTCAATTTATTCAAAATTTGAAGCGCACCAATAGATTTTTTGTTTCTTTTTCATACACTGCTGATAATCTTCACTGTCCTGCTCCTCTGAATCAGAACTGTGAATAATTTCTGCTTTGCTTCTCCTTTTTCTTTCTGGTTTCTTCACTGCATATATTTTTCTTGAACCAGTCTTCCAAAAGGCAGTGCCTTAAACAAAAATTTGTCATAATCTATTGACTATGTGATTACTTTGTAAAGTTGATAATCTTCATGAATTTGGCCTTCATGATGAACATTTCAGTATGTATCATATCGTTTTGGCAAACTACAAGTAACATGACAATATTTGAGAATTTTACCTCTTGTTCCTGGTTCATCAATATATTGAAAGCCACCATTCGATACCAACATCAAGTTGTTCTCGTTGAAGTTAGTTTCGGCCATTGCCAAAAAGTGTGCAACATTCGCATACTCTTCTCGATGTATTGGTATAAACGTTTGCTTGGGGCTGGAAGAATTGATGACGGGCTTTCCAGTCGGTGAGAGATCGGCGAAAAGCACTTTCACCGTTGCTTTCGGTTTTACGCTGTTGCTCTGGCTTGCATTGCTGCAGAATCCAGAGCTTCCTTCCGTTTTCGATGCGTTTAAAGCCCATGGCCTACTAGCGATAGTCGAGAAAGAGTTGGTCGCGAAGGGGAAGCACCGAGGATAGCACGCGAACCTGGACCGTTTTCTTCACCCGCAACTTCGAAGCTTGTTCCATCATCGAATCCAACAAAGTTAAATTTTCCGCTGTCGTTTGGAAACTCCAGACGCGTCCCAAACTCTTCCTTAATGGGAATTGTGCTTGGAATGAACTGCAAATATAAGTTGAAAGTTCTTGACTTACATGATATTACATCAAGTTATTTTGTTACATTTGTAATACATACGTTAAAATATCGTCCTAATCGTTCTGCTGTTACAGTGGACTTTCTCATATTCACTTCTTTCTCGTTACAATTAAAATTGTACGATGGATCCATTGCGTAAATTGCGCTATCTGCCATTAAGGTTTCCCAGTTGACACACGTTGACGAACTTGGAGCAATGTCAATGCAGAGCAGTGGGTGAATGAAATGTGCCGGTTGTGGAAAGGCAATGCCTTTACTGACGTGACAGGGAGACATACGGTAGCAAAGTACTTCCCGTTGCACCACTCACACATACTAATCAAAACGAACAATGGAGTCAACTTCCTACAATCAGCATAAGTAGGAAATGATAATTTAATTAAGTGAAATCAAGGAACTTTTGCAAAGAAGTAGGAAGCTAACACGTTGTTGCTCTTGATCAAGGCGTTTGGGAGGTCAAGGTTCACGTCCTTTGCTATATGTCTTTGTTACTTAATTCTTATTGTTACTCTGGCTAGTAGAAAAATGAAATATTTTGTATTTTATTTTAGAAAAAGTGTTGTATCATTAGTGTATTATAATTTTTCATTGCAATTCTCTAAACATATGATATTCATTTGGTTATTTTCGACATGCGGTGAATATCATGTGCAGAACAAAAGCGTCGCACACTCATTTTGCTTAGACCTCGAACACCAGGATTTGCTCGTCGCAGTTCCTCGCCTATTTGATTGTGCGTCAGCTATTTTCTCACGACTAGATCTCTGACTGCCTCGACACTTACTATCTCATCCATGACTTTCGCGAAAAAATGTAGCACCGAACGACGTAGACGACAGCCAAAATGTGCTGAGATATTTTATATCGATCATAATATCGTCATAAAATAAAGTTCTCAAATGATCGAACGCTGTAGACTTTGACTCCCCGTTCGGCCATAGGAAGTCTATGCACAAAGCAATGTCGGATTAAACTTATAGCAAAATTTGATGGATTTCAGAATGCGTAAATTGGTAATTCATAGGTATATTTCAACAACTCAAAATCAAATTTTTAAAGTGGATTTTACTTTTATATTAATCAAATGAAAATTGAATTCGCAAAAAAATGTGAATTCAATTTTTGAAAATTGAATTCAGGATGTGAAGTTAATTAAATATTTGTATTTGTGAATTTAATTTTTGAATGAACGAAACGCCCACGGAACGTTATTAACGCGAATGCGCCATAGAATTAGATGAAAACACCGAAAGAGCTTGCGGATCACCCGCTTTGATGGCGTCTTACTAGGAGAATCTTGTGGAGGCGACTTATCTTTATGAGGTTCTACGACCACAACTTTTGGTTCTTTGGGCGAAACAATTTTAACCGGAGGTTGTTGTTGTTGTTGTGAAGGCGTGTTAAATCCAACACCCGTTGAAGCGACATTTAACCAAGACACTTTTAGAAAAATATTAAAAATATTTTTACGTTTTACATTTATAAGCCTTTACGGTGATAGTATTCTATTCATAAAAAAAATTTTAGATTTAAAAACGCTTTATATGATAAAAAAATTATTCCTACCGCGCGCAGAAATCTATTTATTTTAACTTTTTTTCAATCAACTTCGTTTTCCGGAGCAAAGTCCGAAAATCTTATTTGAATGTTTTTTTCAAAAATTTAAAATGAATATTTTTATTTCATTCTCTTATGTCAACAATGGATGATGAATACGTAGAGTTTGTAAGCGAATTTTTTAAATTGTCTATTTACGATCAAGAAAAAACCATATCGTTTTTAATCGAATATGCTTAAATAGATATGAGAGAAAGAGGTGATTCACCACCGACAAATTTTCCTTTACATAACAGCTTCGAAAAATATTTAAATGATGAAGATTCAAGCGAACAAGATAATTTAGACGAAATTAGCGAATAATGTGCATTGCACTATTTCAATGTATTAAATTTATTTCAATATACACGCCATGTTTTATGCCTCTTCTTTAATCGTTTCCAATATATTGTATTTCGAATTATATTTCAAACCTCGAACGGTCTTTTTTAGAACATCTTGAGCTGTTTTCTTAAGCGTTATTAAATCTTCTTCATCAACACTATTCGAACCTATATTACGTTCTAAAATACGAAGACATTTTTCAATAACTACCTCGTTCGTACTTCGACCACGTCGTTTACATTCCTTTATCAACATTTTAAAGACGCAAACATCTTCTTGTAATTCCACATCCATTTTTTGATTTTACACGTCATTTTCAACATAAATATACAAACGACTTCTTCTTGTCAAAAAATCTCTACTTTTTTATCAAAACAACGCTTTGCGGATTGATGACGTCATAACGCGAAGCGTTTACGCCATACCCAAGACTATAAAAGCATGCGGAAATAAATTTTTACGTCGGTCGCTAAAACGCATTCTTACTAACACCATCCGTCCGTGCGCTCTAATTGGATGACGTCGTCGACTCGTTCAACTCATCAGGAAGCTTCCATTATATCACGTGGTCGTTGATTGACCAATCAGAACAATCCGTGATCGGGAAAAAACAAGGTCGGAAAAATTGGGAAGAAAAAACGTAAAATTGTTGGGAGGAAGTATTGTTTTTGGTATTTTGAGTTAAAAGTAGGGAAAAATGGCGAAATATTGTCGTTCTATGGTGTAATGGAGCGCTGTGATTGGTGGATTGTTTGTAAAATGCGTTTTTTGCGGCCGACATATTTGGGTGGTCCGAAAGGACAATTTTGGCGGTGGGGGATGGGGGTCCTCAATTTGCTCTATATCTTAAGCGTAGAAATTTCACAATTTAAAGTTTCTTGTGATTCTTTCAAATCATCAACTTCGCGTTGCAATCTTCGTTTCGAAGCGTTCCCTTGTTGCAGTTCTTCGTCTATATCGTCCAATTGTCAATTCGTCTGACGAAGTTTCTGACTTGTCTTATCGTACTGAAAAACATAACACATAAAACTTTCAGCATTGAGTTGCACAAAAGCCAAAAAATATAAACAAAACAATTGAAATTCACGTATGAAAGTTTGTTTTCAAAGAAACAGATATATATATACTGCATCACAAACATCTTGCAAGCATTTTAACAACTTTTGACCTGGAGTGTTAAAATATAGTGGTATAAACAAATTTGGAAGCACAACTCAAGGGTTTCTTACGACCACAGAAAAAGAAACTTTTCAAGACATTAACAGGAAATTAAAAAAAAATGGGCATTGATAGCATAGCCATTAATCATGAAAATTATCGCCAAATTTAACATCCATATTGGTAGCCAAATCCCCGAATTGGATTTACATCTAACATATCAAACTAAAACAGGGTCTAAAGCTGTTCCTGCTTAACACCATGAATGCAAAATCGTGTATATGATGATAATTATTTACCTGTTCTTTGTACAGGTCAGCGTGTCTACGTTCCCCCTCGATTTGGATGGAGATTTCCCGCACTTTCTTCAATCGTATAAAAAATGGTAATCAAAAAGCAGTAGCTAAAGGTTTTAGGGGGGGTGTTCTCAAAAGACATGCTTCCTAAAGAGCCTCTTAAAGCTGAAGAAAGCGTTATAAGACTTTCTTACAAGAAAGCGTACTTA